CCAGCAAACCTCTTTTGCCATTCGAACTGTACGTACTTAACCCCATCTCGTTACCAATCATGACCTGCTTTCTGACACCCTCGCGCTTAGTTCAACACTTTCCTCGTCTACTGCACCCCTTGGCTCGGAGCGATCATCGCTGACACTATGTGGGGTCGTTACAAGACCATCCTTGTCTTCTCCGTCGTTTGCCTGTGAGTGTCGTCTTCCTGCCGGCCAGCACTTCTGTTGGTCTTCATCTCTTCTCTCATGAGCGCCTGCCCATCGCTTTCTATCTTCGTTACTGACTGAGTCCATTCCTTTCATTAGGGCTGGTCACGTCGTTCTCGTTGGCGGTTCTTCCCCTGGTGCCCTCCAAAACACCAATCTTGCAATGGGCTTGCTCATCGTATCGATCGTCATCATTGTCAGTTGCCATTTCCTCTGTCTGACGTGGGATAAAGCGCTAAACTTGGTTTCAGGGTATCGGTGCTGGATGTATCAAGTCAAACGTCGCACCCATGGTGGCCGAACAGTACACAGGCAAGATGAGGAAGGAGACTCTCAAAAGTGGAGAGGTCGTCATCGTCAGTCCCGATGTCACGATCCAGAGTATCTACCTCTGTGAGTTGCATCATCCACCTGCGGTCCTGCTCAATACTGACTGCTGCCTCCAGGGTTCTACGCCGCCATCAACTTTGGATCTTGCGGTGCCATCTCTGCTGCCTTCCTGGCCAAGGACCATGGCTTCTGGGTAGCCTGGCTCGTTCCCACTGGTATCTTCTTGCTTGTTCCTTTCGTCTTGATGGCCGGAAAGAACCGCTACGTGATGACCCCACCTCGTGGTTCTATCCTGCTTGAGGTTCGTAGCCCAGCACAAGCCGCATGCTCTCGTTGCTCATCGTGCACTCTAGACTCTTCGCTGCATCCGCTTGTCTCTCGGTCCAGCTTGGTCGTTTAACCCCATCCGAACTTACAAGAACTGCCAAAAGGAAGAGTTCTGGACCCCCTCGAAGCCCAGCACCTATGGCGACAACGTTCCCAGCTCGATCACTTGGGACGATACCTTCGTCGGTGAAGTCGCCAGGACTGTCAAAGCTTGCCAAGTCTTCTTGTTCATGCCGTTCTTCTGGCTCTGTGAGTATCCTCCCCATAAGTTATACACGTTATCATAACCCACCTTCATCCAAGGCTACTCGCAGGTCGACGGAAACTTGGGAACTACCGCCGCTGGGATGCAACTCAACGGTACCCCCAACGATCTCATCCAGTAAGTTTTCTCTTCCCTACCTTGTTTTACTCGCTCCCTGAGCCGCCGTGATAAGGAACTTGAACCCTGTCGGAATCATCGTCATGGTCCCCCTATTCGACTTTATCATCTACCCCTTCCTCCGCCGAAGGGGCATCGACTTTACCCCCGTCAAGCGTATCTACACCGGTTTCCTCGTCGCCGGTCTCGCCATGGTCTACGCATCTGTCCTCCAAGCTTACATCGCCAAGCGTTCTCCTTGTGCTGGCGTCGTTCCTCCCTCCGAGTGTGAAAACGCGGATGGTGAACCCGACCCTGCTCCCATCAACGTTTGGATCGTCGCTGGTCCCTACATCATGGTTGGCATGGCTGAGATTTTTGCGTCTATCACCTCGAACGAGTACGCGTTCACCAAGGCCCCTGTGCGTATGAAATCTGTCGTCACTGCCTTCTCGCAGTTCCAGAACGCAATCAGCTCCATTCTCAACTTTGCCCTCGTCGAAGTCAACACTGAGCAAAAGTTTGTGTGGTTGTATGGATCGTTCGCGGTTGTTTCTTGGATCATTGGAACGATCTTCTTCCTCATGTACGTTGCCTCTTTCTCTTGTATGCGGGCTTCGAAACTGATGTTGTGGATTTTAGCTTCCGTCGCTACGACAAGAAGGAACACGACCTTAACGCTATTGGACGAGGACAGCGTGCTGGATTTGCGGATGAGGCGAGAGCTTCGAACCAGATCGACCCTCCTGTCAAGTCGTAAACACCGATCGATACCTTCATGTTGTATAATTGAGCCTTATAATTTTCTATTCGCGAATGGAATATTCCTTTTGTCCTTTATATGCACTGGCGTCAGCCACCATGCCGTGACCTCCATCCAAGGAGGGGATGGATCTGTCCGTTATCATAAGAGCAAGACAGTCCACTCACCTCGTTTAATTATCAACGCAGTTTTCTTGGCAATGGATACCATTGCGACAAACCCCACCATCTGATCTCTACAAGGTCCCATATCGTCCTCCTTCTCAGGTCCGGGAGCTTCAGAATCCTCATTTGGGTCGCGGTCGTTGGTCTGGTGAGCAGTGTACACACATCGCTCCTTTCACATACACGTCCTGTCAAATGAACTTGCGCAGCCCTTCAATTAGCTCTTGTTTGTGCAACTGGCTGTGATTTGAGCATCTCGCAGACATGGCTAAACCTGTGCTAATAGGACATATCTATGTGCCAGCGCATACCTGTCAAGCTAGATTGTCACATTCATGTCGGAAGGACTGGGCATACACATGTGACCCCTATCTGTGTCATACAAAAACTCTGACCTGTCTATAGAGATTGTCTACAGGGACGTTAGCTTCGATGTTGTGACGTCGAAGCCCTCCGGTAGGCGTCTTCCCCGGATTCGAGCTGCTTCTTTCCACAAATTTGCCTACAGCACCTTCCTCTTTCAGGTGATCAATAAAGCCATCGCCGACAGTGAACAGCCAGTCTAAGGCTGCGATTTCAGATCGATATCAACAACCGGGTACCTCTCGGATTCTATATCCATTTTCCTCTGTCACTGGTGGTATAGAGATCTTTCAAATTTAGAGAGGCTCGAATCGACTCTCACAGGAGCACGCTTAGGTAGTGAGAATGCGTACCTGGACAAAGAAATTGGGGGCGTGGATCTAAGAATGCACTTCCCAAATGTATGTTCTCACCCCGAAAAACCGTGATGTTTTCACTTCGATTTATTTCTCGAAGGGATGATAGACATTGCATTAAGGTTTTCAGCCGTGTCGGTGATGTATTTTAAACGCTTCGGAACAAGTTTTGCTACTCTGGAATGGTGTGCAGGTTAACACTTGCGATCTAGAGGAAGCCTTTTCTGGCTTCCATGGCTTCAATCATGCCCATGGCCATGTCAGGATCCCGATGGCTTCGCTATCCTCACTCCGTTTTGTACCGGGACTCTCTAAGGTCCAAAGCGGTGTCTCCCTCATGAAAGGTATAAAGCCATCTTTGCCGGGGACAGTCAAATCAGCACTCGCTGGCCCTTCAAAGTCTTCAAACCATGCAGCTCTCATTCTCTTTGCGCTTCACCACCCTCATTGCTGTTGCGGTTGCATCTTTGGCTTCCGCAGGTGCAACTCCTGTAAGTCGACCCCAAACCTTTCAGAATAAGGCTCCTACTGACCTCGACGAACGCTAGACTATTGTCAAGCGCACATGTGGAGACCGCGCTGACGCAGTTCCCCTTCTTCGTGCCTTCGATGGGAAAACTGGCGACCATTTCTACACTACCGACGAAGCCGAGCGCGCCCGTGCAGTGGCAAATCATGGATACGTTGCCGAGGGGGTGACAGGATACCTCTTTCCCACCCCCGAGTTGCACACTGTGCCCCTCTACCGCACGTACAACCGCAAGATCGTCGACCATTTCTACACTACCGACGCTGCCGAGAAAGATAGAGCCATCAAGCAATATGGATATATCGATGAAGGGATCACGGGCTATGTTTACCCTGATACTGAATGTGGAGGACAACCCTTGTTCAGGGCGTACAAAACCGCCGTCGGTGACCACTTTTATACAATGAGCGAAAGTGAATGGGAAAGAGCTATCGGACGTCAGGGCTACGTTCGAGAGGGCATCACTGGATACTTGTTCCCTGTTTGATTATCGTCCGAGTCGTGCCTACCATGTCATGTACGGTTTCCGTTGTTTACCATGGCTGTATATGTACTTTTCGATATCCACAAGTCCCGTTGATTCAACACATAATCCCTGGCCTTTGACACTGACTATGGGCTTCGCTTACTCAGAAACGTTCACCTCCCAAATCCAATCTTCACATTTTCATAGTCAACCATGCCGAGAGGGTCTGCGCTGATCCTGGGGCACAAAGTGAGTGCATTGACACAGGAAGGATTGGGTGTGCAAATGTCACATCTTTGGCATGGCTGTAGCCCTCCAAGCGTAATGCAGTGCATATGAACCAAAAAGAGTGATTTAAAGCATCTCGTAGCAGCCGGAAGGACACGACAAAGTCCCAACAAGATGCCCTAAATTCTTGTTGTCGATTCAGGGCGTTCACGTTATTTTGACATGGGTGGAAGCTACAAGCCATACATTGTAAATATTGCAGACTGGGTATGACAAGCCAGGTCCAAAATACCGAGCGAGCTGACATGCTTTTCCTCTTGGATACAACTGCTATGGGCTTACCAGTTGACTAGAGTCCAGGGTACTCCACATACTTTGAGCCGTCTCTCTTGTGCGCCCTTCAAGAAGGATCAAGGTCTCCTATTACAGCACTTCGACTCGCTTCTAAGTCGTTGCACAGCGGCATCTCGGCGAAAAGTATGTCAACTGACTCGCCCTCTTAACGATACGATATTTGGACCTTGATTCCCACAAGAAGGGTACCAGCGTCCACTCGTTCGAGATCTTTGAAAGTTGACTTCTGCCCCAAGGAAGTACTGCTACTGGAAATCGAAGTACTCCGGTAGATCTCTTCCCCGGAATCCAGTCGTGAAGGCTGAGAAAGAGATCAGAAAGCCCGGTTGGGCACACATGCCCCCCGCCTGAGACACTTTCTCATCCACAATGGACGAGAGTGGGGTGGATAATGACAGGTTCATAGCAGCCAGTCGATCGTTGAACACTTTGGATTGATTCCTGTAGCAACACACACTTTCGTCGTGGATCGCGTCGACGATCCATGCCAGCTAGTTTCTCTTTCCAGCTTGAACGCGTTGTAAAAGGCATGCAAAATAGTCTTGTCAAGCCCGCCTAGCTCAATCGGATAGAGCGTCAGACTCTTAACAGTCCAAGGCGGGTTAATTCCCAATTTGAATGTGGAATCTGAAGGCTGCGAGTTCGACCCTCGCGGTGGGCTAATGTCACATTTGATAGATACGTCAAATTTTCTTGCCTTTTTCTTTCTAAAATCACAAGTCTCGCCTCGCTTCGATACGGCGGCTGAATCCAATCTCAAATTTGGCCAATAAACTTTTAATATTCGACGTGAACATTGACTTGGAAGGCACAATGCAAGTCGTTTCGCTGCCAAGCTGAGGTCGATCTCACCCATCACGTTTGCCATAAACCAAGTCAGCGCGGGACGACAAATGGTATACGGATTGTGATGCGTTGCGAGAGCGGGCGGTGGCCCTTAGACTGAGAGCTTTAAGGTGAAGCTCTTTTGTCGTTGGGCGGATCCCTGTGGTCCAAGTACCGTCGTGCGTGAACCAAGTGCGCCAAGCCCTTCTATACACGAAAGACTTGTGCAGTACAGCGTCGACAACACGAAAAGAGCGGCTAAAAATTTGCACAACGAAAGCGAATCAAGCTTTCTAGTGATTAGACAAAAATCAGCAAAGTTTTCCTGTCAGGAAAAAGCGCTGCCCAAGCGGAAAAGTGCAAACAAATATCTACAAACAGAGCAAGGCGATAAGCATGTAATAAGAGTGATGTTCGCTGCTCAAATCGATTCCACCAGTGGACCACCCACCACAGCTGCGTCTGGGTGGATATTAGTGGCTTACTTTTGCGCTATTCGCTTTTCGTATTGATGTTGGCAATGGCAGGCACGCGATCAAAGCACGGGATGGTACATAGGCATTTTGTCTCACTTGGAACTCAGAACCGAACAGGTTGAAGTTCTCGTACACTTCCTTTCTTTCTGGCCTCCTTTCCTTGCAAGCTATGTATTGCACCATCCGATCTCAGCCCTTTGAAGGTCATGAACTTTGAAGCGTAGATCAGCTACGCTAGACGTTTTTCGACTCTCTCCAGAGGTATGTCATTTTCTTTTCATCTTTATTTCCTGTTGGTGTCGCTGCATGTGCTATCCAGACCCGTAGGCCGTCGGCCGTCGCTTGAGGATTGTGCTTGAGCTTGGGATCGAGCGCACGCGATGTTTCAGCAGTCAGCGCTTCGGCCACGAACCGAACAGGCTCCTTTCTTTAACCTCCATCTTCATCTCCTTGCGCCTTTTTCGTTGTTGTTCTGACTGGTTCTCATGACTCTCAGCTTCTTCGCCGCCTCCTGAGCACAGGCGAGGTGCCGTAGGCGGCTTTCTTGTAGTGTTTATCATGTGGGTACAGTCAAATTAGCGGTGAGGAGGGATATGAAGCGGAAAATTAACGAGTTTTTCGGTTCAGGATCGGTGACCATGATTTCTGGATGATGTTGACAGGAGTTGGACCCACTGGACTCTAACGATACGCCCATCGGACGGTTCCGGGAGGTCTTTGGCAAAGCGAAAACGACTTCAAAACTGAACCTTGCAGCACAGTCACAAGTTCTCTCTGGGATACGCAAAGCGAGCCTTGGGAAGGAACTCAACGAAGCACTTGGCCGCGATAGCCGCACAAATACCTTTAGCGCCCGTTGCCGTAACTGGGTCATGGGCGCAGCACTGCCGGCATACTCACGGGTGTCCTTGACGACCGACGCATAATGAAACTTAGCTCATTCCGCTACCCACGATCGTTTACGGTTTAGCTGCTGTGGGGGATTGACACAGATGTATGACGCTGTTGGCCTCTTTGCTCTGGACCGCGAGGAGCACGGCGACAACAGCCGCCCGCGAACTCTTCGTCCTAAGTATCCTCCTGCGGGACAACGACAACGACAGCTTGACCTTTGAATTCGACGACCCATACCAACACTCATTTGGAAGAAATTGACCCCAGGTGAGCGCTCTTTCTTAATTTGTTGTTTCATCTCTGCGTTTGCCGTCGAGGTTAAAACTCGGACAGGCGCAGTCGAAGGCCTCGCCTTGGATGAATGTTTGCTTGTTGGTGAACCTTTGTCGAAGCAATCCTTCAATCAAAAAACCTCCAGTCATCTTCTCTTCCTTCATATGCCTCGTATTCATCCATATTCGCACTCTCCACTCCTCTCGTCCAACGCCCATCTTATCAGCCTTTCGAAGAGGAGAGATACTTACCAAACCGTTACCCATCTCTATTAGGCTTTGCGTGCCGAAAAGACAATCCACCTTTTATTGTCTATCAGAAGGGCCTAGAAGCGGAAGAACCTTTCGAAGCTCTCTCGAAAGCTTCCTTACGGGCGCCCTTGCTTCCCGCCGTCCTCTGACCACGCGGCTACGAACCCCTGCTTCCCCTGTCCCAACAGTCAGACATCTTCTTTTCCGCAGACGCCTGCACCTGCTCCTTCAAGCAGATTCTGCCCTCGGCGGTACACTGCAGCTTCGGCATTCGGGTCGCTAGCCTTGTGACATCTCCCCTTCGACCGCAGCTGGCGCCTTTTCATCATCGACATCATTCCACCGACCATCTATCAGTCATACGTTCATTCTTGAAGAGGCTTCGACATCACGAAACGAACCTTGTTCTGACATCGCCTCTTTGATTCAAATTTGAAGATTTTCGACGACGAGACGACGCAGAGGCTTGCTTACTTCCCCATTCCTTTTCATCACTCTCCGAAGAAGGGACAATGGTTGGGTTCGACGAAGATCCTTTGGACGTTGTCACTCGTCCACCGCCTAATGAGACGCCTGCTGATAGGACGGAGAGGGTGAGAAGGGAGGCTGAGGCGAAGCGGGTACGTTCCTTCCATCTCTTCGTTATGCTCAGGGCAAAACTGATCTCAACGTTTGCTGAATAGATAAGCGATGCGATTGACGAGGATATTCGACGAGAAAAGGCTGAGAAGAAGAAGACGGGTCGGCCAGTGAGAGTGTTGTTGTTGGGCCAGAGTGAGAGTGGTATGTAATCGACAATTTCTCTTCCCTTCCTTGGCCTGTGCCTCCACATCTGTTGCCCCTTTTCTCTTGGGTCGTCCAGCTGTGTGTGTGTGCCGTCGCTTGGTCTGGATATTGCTCCACTCCTTCGATCGCTCGATCAACGCCACTAGACCTAGCAACATCAGCGCCACGATCCCTCTCCTCATTGCGTTCCCCTTCGTCTCTCAGCTAGTTTCTTCGCCTGCTTTACCGCAAACCTTTCCACTTCTCCTGTCCATCACTCTCGAACGAATCATGTCAACTAACACTGTCTCTTCTCCCAACCAGGCAAATCAACGACCCTCAAAAACTTTCGAATGCGATACGACCGAGCAGCATGGGACGCCGAACTCTCCTCCTGGCGCACCGTCATCCAACTCAACCTCGTCCGCTCAACGCTCACCATCCTCGACGCCGTCCAAGCCGAGATGGACGGTATCGATGCTTCCTTCGATGGCGGGTTGGACTCGCCTTCCTTGAGCGTCGACACGGGCAAGGAGAATGGGAGTACCGGGGATGTGAATATGGATGCAGAGATGCAGTATTATGACCCCAATTTGGCTACGCCGAGTGGGTCCCCGGTTGTTTCGAGTATACCGCTGGGCGGAGGGAGTTCATCGCCGCTTGTGGGGTCTTTCGCTTCAAACTCGTCGTCGTCGTCGCAGGTGGTTCCTGCGTCTCCTCTTCATCGATCATCGTCCCGCTCTCGCTCAGGCTCGGGCGTACACAAAGCTTCCTCGTCTAACCTGAGGAAGGATGCTCTGCAGCAGTCGGTTCCGCTCACAGGTCAACATCAGCTTTTGAAGTTGAGGTTGGCGCCATTGAGGAGGGTGGAGAAGGATTTGAAAAAGAGTCTGGGAGCTGGAGCGGAGGATGAGGTGACTGATGTTGCGATGAGTGAGGAGTATGGTGCTCTTGGGCGTAAGACGCCGTCGAATGAGGGATCTACGGAACTAGGAGAGGACGGGAAGATTGGTAGTGTGGCAGGAGCTGGGTCGAGTAGGAGGTCAAAGAGGCCGAAAGAATTTACGGTGAGGAGGTTGAAGGATGCTTTGAATGGGAGTCGACGTGAGTTTTTGTTTCGTTTTCCTTGGTTTGGAGATGGTTGTGGTTGCAGGCTGTGGGTCTGAGATTGGTCATGAGGGGGTTTGAGCGCCTCGTTCATGTAGTCTGAGACACTTGCTCTCCCTTCGTCTCCTTTGGTCTTAGAATCGGCTCTCTCTCAGTTTCACCAAGCCTCAGGATGGTCTCTGGTGTTGGGCTGTCCCTTCTCCCTTTCTTTTTCCCCCTCTTTCCCCTGCTTTGCGATTGACTAGAGCTGAAACTGAAACTTACTTGACCTTTCCCGTCTAGGCTCGCAAGATTCCCCATCACCATCCTCATCCCCAGCGAAGGACCCTTCTTCGGAAGCTACGGAGCTCATTGCCAATTGCAAAGAAGATATGAAGGCTCTCTGGACTGACGAAAACGTGAGGAAGGTCTTGAAGAAGCGGAGAGTGCGGTTGGAGGATAGTGCTGGGTTGTAAGTCGTTCTCCCGCTTCTCCCTCCCCATTCCTCTCCCGCCTTCCTCCACCCTTTGGTTGTGAGACGCTGTCGCTGACCTTCCCCCCTCGCACAGTTTCTTGGACGACATCGACAGAATCGCTACACGTACATACCTCCCCTCGGACGACGACGTCATCCGTGCTCGACTTCGTACACTTGGTGTACAAGAATACCAGATCAAGGTGGATCCTTCCAATCCATCAGGGGGACCCGTAAGACCTGGGACATCCAAGAGTACGAGTTCGAATCTTGGGGACCTTGCGCATAGTGCGATTGGGAAACCTATTGGGAATGAGTGGATGTTGTATGATGTTGGTGGGAGCCGGACGATTGTGAGTCTTTTTTTTGCTTATCGTTGGGACAAAGTTGTTGAATTGGATTTGATTTAGCGACATGCGTGGTTGCCATATTTTGAGAATGTGAATGCTATCATATTCTGTATGTCGCACTCTCTCCTGTTCCCTTCTCTTCTGTTTCATCCCCTTCCTTCCCCCTGTTTCTTTGCTCTCCTTCCATCCGTTCCATTACACCTTTGCACAGGTCACTCATGTCTCTATTGAACAGTGGCCCCCCTCTCATGTTTCGATGAACGCCT